AGCAGGAGTTTTTTCAAGTCAATATATCTACAGGTTTTTCTGTGAATCCATGCAGTATCATTAAGAACTCAAACCTCATAAATTTTTATACCACTTCTGATTCCACATGAAACTACATTAACTATTTTAATTTTCAAGGCATCATGTGCCATTTTGTTGTCCTCCGAGCAAAGAAAACAGTATTGCATTAAAGAATTCTTCAAATATATTAAATTGCACAACTATCAGTCATATGAATGAAGATAATAAAAAAATCTAGTTTTCAAGAAAAGAGAAGAAAACAGAAGCCTGACTTAACCTTGAAGTGCACCCAAACTACTTTGGTTTCAAGCACCCAATTCATGTTTAAAGTCCAATAATTAACTATATAATAACTACCTAGTAACATTTTTGATGTTACCTTGGGTAGACAAGCAGTGCAGCAAGATCAATGTAGATGTGAATTTACAAAATTATTTTTGTAATCACAACTGCTGTCTCTTAGCAACTTCCAAGTATAGTTGAGGATTTGATAAGTGCTGTATTTAGGCTGTTTTAGGAACTGTGTCTACTTCAAACTTTCTTTTCCAAACATTCAACAAAATAAGTTCCTGTTAAAATCAAAATAATGTATTGATTTTGTCTCAGCTATAGAAATTAGTTCATTTTTCAGCTTTCTGTTTGGAAAACAGAAGCTATTTGAATACAAAGATTGCTGTCAAACAGTTTAATTCTTCATTTTTCTGCAAAACTGAAGATGACAGCTCATAGGACTGCTCTCTCATGCTTCTTCAGAATGCTGTTGCTCTTCAGCTGCTATTTATCCAGCCTATGTCCCACTTGGACATTGAAGAAGTCTTGCCTCAATACACTGGATTTCTGCAGCGTGCCTCTCCTACTAAAACTTTTCAGCCCCATATTTGTTCTACAATGATAACAACTTGAGCATTATTTAAGCATCTCCTGTGCCACATTTAGAGGTGCAAATAATAATTATATTCATAGAAGAGAAAGCCTGATAAGGCAGCCCGACTGATATAGATTAATAAGTTTTTTCTAAGGAATGGAAATAAATTCCTGAGAAATGTAGACAGCTTCAGTTACCTTCATGACTGTAGAGAGTATCTTTTGTTCCTTGTCCAGGATTTTATTTCCCCCTCCCCTTACAGTTTTGGTTTCCTGCTTATTGAATGTGGTGTCAATGAGTTCCACTTCACAGGAAAAGTTTAAGGCAGGGCAGTATTTAAAGCAACAAAACTATATCTTTATCATGCAGCGATGACATGCTTCATTTATTCTCATTCAGAAGGGAATCTATAAAAGTCATAGAAAGCATCACCTTGATTTGCTGTTACTTTTTATACACAACATAAGCAGGAAACACCACACTGCATGACAGAGGGTAGAAAGAACACATTTATCACCTATAAGCTTTTCAGCTGATTTACTGTTTTATGCTAACGTCACTAAGCACAAAAATACACTCTACTCACCAAATAAATTGCTTGAATGTCCTTGCTTAGATATGGGTTTCAGTTCATTTAATCCCCATGCGTAACGCTTATAATTATCCCAGGCATGTTTCATCA